CGCCATCTCTGCAGGGCCTTGCATCTAATGTATGGTACCACAAGCACAGTTACTAATGATCCAGAAACACACTTCACAGGCTCCCTAATCCAAGATGGAGCCTAAAAGGAGGCAGTAATAGCAATTTTATGTTTTGCAGCCCATAGGGAGCAGGACCATTAGAGCGAAAAATGACCTCTTAAAGGAACCAATTAAGCTCTTGACAGAACTCCCCTTATTGAGAAATTGAGCCGTGGTTTTAATGGAAGCTATATGTGTCTTGAATGAGGCCTTGTTATGGGAGGAAAGCTGGCTTGCCTGGTGCAAGCCATGCCAGTATGGAAAAGATCAGACACTGTCTTATGCCCAGTTCCACATGGTATACCCTGATTTTTTTTTGAGAGAGAGAGTCTTACTCTGTTGTCCAGGCTGGAGTGCAGTGCAATGATCTCAGCCTACTGCAACACCCACCTCCTGGGTTCCAGTGATTCTCCTGCCTCAGCCTCCTGAGTAGCTGGGATTACAGGCAGGTGCCACTGTGCCTGGCTAATTTTTATTTATTTATTTTTTGAGACAGGGTCTCAGGCCGTAGTGCAGTGGTGTGATCATGGCTCACTGCAGCCTCAACTCTCTGGGCTCAAGTGATCTTCCCACCTCAGCCTCCCAAGTAGCTGGGACCATAGGAGCATGGCCCCCTCCCCCACAATAGCCTTCCATTTGTGGACCATTGATCCTTTACCACTGAGTTATTCACAGTGTCAAGAGTTTCATGCCAGCCCAGGAACAAGTGAGCAGAGTTTGTGAGTGTGGCACTTTCAGATCACTAGACAGAGAGCTTATGACTCTGCCCATGGGCTGCAACACCAGATTCTCCCCGTATGGTATCAGCGGAAGGCTGAATGGCTATGGCAGTCTACCTGGGGGCCGACACATGCTGGAACCATCGGTGTATCAAGCTTCCTCGGGCAAGTTCCCGTCTTATTTCATGGGGTTTTTCTGAAAGTGGTGTTGAGATTGATTTTAAATCTAAAGTGTGTTGTGGAGAGGCCGGGTACAGTATCTCAAGCCCGTAATATTAGCACTTTGGGAGGCTGAGGCGGCTGGATCACTTGAAGTCAGGAGTTCAAGACTAGCCTGGTCAACATGGTGAAACCCTGTCTCTACTAAAAATACAGAGATTAGCCAGGTGTGGGGGTGCTGCCTGTAGTCCCAGCTACGCAGGAGGCTGAGCCACAGTAATCGCTTGAACCTGGGAGGCAGAGGTTGCAGTGAACTGAGATTGCACCAGTGCACTCCAGCCTGAGCAACAGAGAGCAACTCTGTCTCAAAATTAATTAATTAATTAATTAAAAGTCCAGTATATTGTAGCAGTTCCAGCAGGTCCTATAGTTCTATAGACAGAGAGTTAGATACAAGGTGACCTCTCTGCTGGAGATGTGCGTGCCACCTAACCAGAGTGCCGTGTTGTGCTGTGGCTGATGATGTAGGCCCAGCAAATAGGTCATCCACCCACCCTTTTATAGGGTAAGCTGTTTCTACTTCCATTGGCGTATCTGCAGTGAGAGCCTGTGTTTGCAAGAGGGTCTGGTAAGCTGCAAGGAACTGTCTTCCCAACAGTGTAGAGCGTTGGTCAACCCCCTGAACAATGGTGACCAGAGGCCAATGAGCATTCATTGGTTACACTTCCTCTGCCAGAGTGTCCAAAGTAGTCCCCCCCAGTCACAGAAACTTCTAATCCACAGTCTCCCTGGGGTTAGCTGTTTGGAGGACTTGTAGTTGTGTCACTAGACTTTTGCCTGAGGTCAGGATTCTTTTTCTTTAGTGCTGCAGTCCCGATGTGCCCCATTTTATCAGGCAGTGCAGACACATTGGGCCATGAGTGCCACCATCGCCTTCCCGTTCCACAGCACCTGGCTGACCTGCCATCCACACCATGGCAGTGCTGCTACACATACCAGCCCTACCTGGCATGGCCTGACTGAGCTGCTGCCGCTGCCCCCCAGCCACCCAGAACCACCAGAAAGTTTGAAGCCAGCTCAGGGTACACAGCACTGCCACTTTTTCCTCTTCTTCCCACTTCTCCACCACTTGGAGATGCTGCTGTCACCACCCAAAGCTGCCCTGGTGCCAGGGCTGAAGCTGTGGGCTTCCTGAGCACCTTTTGGCAGGTCCCCCTCTTCCATTTTTCCCACCGTGTGAGTAGCAGAGTGGCAGAGGAGTGTGTGTCACTTTCTGGTTGTAATTCTTTCTCTACTTGGTGCACTTGCTTCCAGAAGGCAGCTGAGCCTCTGTGGCCAGGTGGACAGCTCACAACAGAGGCCAGTCTTTCCCCGCCACCAGCCGCCAGGCTTCCTTGCCACTGTTTGCCATCTTCAATCCTCCGCCTGGCCAGTCAAGCCCGCTGGGCCTTTTGGAGCATCTGTGGTCCCGGGGGAGCCTGCAGGCACCTCGCCAGCGGTCCACAGGGAAGCCCACACGGACCCTCACCGCCATTCCGGACGTCCCGGCGGTCTCCTCTTTCCCCAGCCCATTTCTTTGGAATCCTACCGGGTATGCCAACTGTTTTCTCCCATCAAACCCTTAGCTGGAGTCGTCCCAGAAGTGGCTGCAGGGAGGTTCCTACAAGGGAGTGCCCCAAACTGTCCTAAGATGGGACCAAGAAACATTCCAAATAAATAAACACTAAATCCCAGGGTTGTCAGTCCAAAGCACAAAGGGAATTCGCTTACAAAGTGCTCTAGCAACCCTAACCATGGACAGTGAGAGGAAAGAGATGTCCTACCTAGATACATCTGTAGCTAAGAGATCAAGATTATTTATGAATCTGGAAAACTCAACAAAGTCTTAGTAGGATGAACACAAGGAGGCCCACATTGAGATACGTTACAGCCAAATTGTCAAAAGACAAGGCAGGGCGGGACCTGTCGCTCATGCCTGTAATTCTATCATTTCAGGAGGCCAAAGCAGGCAGATTGCTTGAGGCCAGGAGTTTGACACCAGCCTGGGCAACATGGCAAAACCTCTTGTATTTGTGCTAAAAATACAAAGTAATAAGCTGGGTGTGGTGGCACATGCCTGTAGCCCCAGCTACTTAGGAGGCTGTGATGAGAGAATCAATTGAACCCAAGAGACAGAGGTTTCAGTGAGCTGGGATCACATCACTGCACTCCAGCCTGGGTGACAGAGCAGGACTCTGTCTCAAAAAAAAAAAAAAAAAAAGGTGAGAATCTTGAAAGCTGAGAGAGAAGAGCAACTCTCGCAGACAAGGGATTTGGATGATACCAGCAGCTGATTTCTCAGGAGAAACCTTGAAGTCCAGTAGGCAGTGGATTACACATTTAAAATAATGAAGAAACTGTCAATTGAGAAATCTATAGCTGGAAAACTTGTCCGTCAAAAATGATGGAGAAATGAAGACATTTACAGATTTTTTTAAGCTGAAAAAAAATTTCTCTCTAAATTTGTCACACAATAAGTGTTAAAGGAAGTCCTTCAGGTTGAAATAAATGAACTCTAGGCATTAACTATATAAATAAATAAGCCAGCTATATGAATATATAAAACCCTCTGGTAAAGGTAAATACATAATGAAACATAAAAACAGTATTATTGTAATTATGGTTTGTAACTCTGCTTTTTATTTTCTTCAGGATTTAAAAGACAAAGGCATAAAATGTAATTATAAATCTGTTAGGTGGTGTACAATGAATAAAGTTATAATTTGTTACATCAATAACATAAAAAGAGTAGAGCATTCTGAAGGGTGACAAAAAAACCAGATAAAATAAAAAATTAAAAAAAAAAGTAGAGCTATATAGCTGCAGAATTTTGGTATGTGATTAAAGTTAAGTTGAAATAAATTCAGATTAGAATATTATAACTCTAGGATGTTATACGTAATTCTCATAGTAACCAAAACCTAAATATATATCGAATATACACAAAAGAAAATGAGTATAGAAACAAAACATGTCACTACAAAAAAATCAACAAGAGATAAAAGAAGTAAATTATTGAGAAAATGACTGGCAAAAATCAGGAACTCTGACTTATTAAAACTTTCCATGCTACATAAATCTGGAAACTCTTATTTCACATAAAACTGGAGCTGAAAGAGACAAACAACTATTTATTTATAAATTTAAAAGTTATATGAGAAACAAACATTAATTTTTTAAGAAAAAAATTATGAAAACAGTTAAAATGTACCTTATACTATCATATAATATGTTTTATAGCTTTGGTAAAATAGAAAACAAAGTTTTGTTAGCATGAACCCTTCTGTGCCCTAAAAATCCCCATGGATTATACCATTATTACCTAAAAAGTATATTCTAAATGCAGCAAAGTGATAATGTTTACAAAGTAGATATTATTTTTAGATATGGAATAATATTGGTGATTTCAATTTTAATAACATTTGATTGAGATGAAAAAATGAGAAGATAAAAGTTCCTCAGCAATATAACTCAACATGTTCAAAAGCAGTAAGAAGTTACATTAATTATCTTTTGAAAGTCAATCTACATTTTTAATTTATGCATATAGGATAGCTAACATACTATCACTGAGTCCATTTATTCAACAAATAATTGCTGCTATGTGACAGACATTGTTCTAGGCCTAGGAATTGATACATACGTGAACAAAGCAAAGATTCTGGTTCTTGTAAAGTTTCTATTAAAAGACCATTTAGTAAACTTTTTCTTCTTCCCAATTATAAAATCTGTAAGATGATTTAACAATATGTATAAAAGTCATTGTGGGCTGGGCATGGTGGGTCATACCAGGTATGGTGGCTCATAGTGCTCTGTCACCAGGCTGGAGTGCAGTGGCACAATCTCTGCTCACTGCAACTTCTGCCTCCCTGGTACAAGCCATCCTCCTGCCTCAGCTTCCCAAGTAGCTGGGACTACAAGTGTGCACCACCACGCCCAGCTAATTTTTACATTTTTAGTAGATATGGGGTTTCCCCAAGTTGGCCAGGGTGATCTTACCTCAGGTGATCTGCCCACCTTGGCCTCCCAAAGTGCTGGGATTATAGGTGTCAGCCACTATACTCAGCTAGGAGTTCACACGTTAGTTGGGAAAAATATACAATAAGCAAACCAATTTTTAAAACGAGAACTGCAGAGTTAAATGCTACAAAGGCAATCTCACAGGAAGATGGGATGTAGAATGACAGGGCTCTCAAACGACAGAATAGTAACAGAAATGATTATTTCTTGCGATCTTTGTCTTTCTTTGTATTGGTGCTCAGCTGAGTCTGCAGTGCTTCAGAGGCAGCCTTCGTTTTATAAAATTCTATTATTTCTCCCTCCAGCTGTTTTTTCTCTTCTTCAAGCTTCTTTATCTCCTCCTGTTGAATCACTTTAAGATGCTCAAACTTGTCCTGCAGCTGTGAAACCGATATGCAGTTGTGACACCAAAGCACAGTGTGGCTGAACACCCAAAAACTACACTTTTTTGCATTATCAAACAAACCCCCATCATCGGAGTACAGCATGATCTTAATGATGATCTCAAACACTCATGAGCAAACACCCAGATATGGAATTTTTCTTTTCTTTTTTTCTTTATTCTTTTTTGAGATGGAGTATTACTCTGTTGCCCAGGCTGGAGTGCAGTGGCACAATCTCAGCTCACTGCAACCACCACCTCCTTGGTTTGAGTGATTCTCCTGCCTCAGCCTCCTGAGTAGCTGAAACTACATGTGTGCACTACCATGCCCAGCTAATTTTTGTATCTGTAGTAAAGATGGGGTTCCATCATGTTGCCAAGCTGGTCTCAAACTCCTGACTTCATGTGATCCTTTCACCTTGGCCTCCCAAAGACTTTTTTTTTTTTTTTTTTTTTTTAATGTGGAGACATGGTCCTACTGTGTTGTCTGGACTAGTCTCAAATTCCTGAGCTCAAGTGATCCTCCCCCCTCAGTTTCCCAGAGTGCAGGAACTGACTGGGTAAAGTGGCTCATGCTTGTAATCTCAGCACTTTGAGAGGCCAAGGTGGGTGGATCACTTGAGCCCAAGGTTTCAAGACCAGACTGGGTGATATAACACAATAGTAAACTTCAATAGGAGAGAGAATCTGTAAACTTGAATATAGATCTTCTGAAATTATCCAGTCAGAAGACAAAGAAAAGAAGAATAGAAAAGAAAAGAAGGTCAGGCACAGTGGTTTACGCCTGTAATCCCAGCACTTTGGGAGGGCCAAGTGGGCTGATCATGAGGTCAGGGGTTCAAGATCAGCCTGGCCAACATAGTGAGACCCTGTCTCTACTAAAAACATAAAAATTAGGTGAGGTTGCATGCGCCTGTAGTCCCAGCTACTTGAGAGACTGAGGCAGGAGAGTTGATGAACCTGGAAGGCGGAGCTTGCAGTGTTTTGAGACCACACCATTGTACTCCAGCCTGGTGACAGAGCAAGACTCTATCTCAAAACAAAGGGAAAAAAAAGAGAAAGAAAGCCAAAGAGACACCATTAGGCAAAGCACTGTCATGTTATGGGAGTTTGAGAAGGAAAGTAGAGAAAGGAGCATAAAGCTTATTTTAAAAAAGAATGGCTGAAAACTGCCTAAATCATGGGAATGATTTAGACATCCAAATCCATGAAGCTTAAAGATTCTTAAAGAGGCTGAAACCAAATAGATACTCACCAAGTCACAATATAATCAAATAGTCAAAAGTCAAAGACTTTTTTAAATGTTGAAGCAGCAAGAGAAAAGTGGCAGGACACAGGCAAGAGAATCTTCAGTAGATTATCAGCAGATCTCTCAGAAGAAACTTTGCAGGTGAGGAGAGAATCAAATAACATACTCAAAGTGCTGAAAGAAAAAAACTGCCAGCAACTAATACTATGTCTGGCAAAACTGTCCTTCAGAAAGAAAGGAGAATAACATGTTTCCTAGACAAACAAAGCTGACGGAATTCAGGATGATTAGGTTTACCTTAAAAAAATGCTTAAGGGAGTTTTTCAAGTAAAAATGAAAGAATGCAGCTGGGCATGGTGGCTCATGCCTGTGATCCCAGCATTTTGGGAGGCCAAGGTGGGTGGATCACCTGAGGTCAGGAGGTCAAGACCAGCATGGCCAACATGGCAAAACCCCATTTCTACTAAAAATACAAAAAAATTAACCAGGTGTGGTGGTGGGCACCTGTAATCTCAACTACTTGGGAAACTGAGACAGGAGAATCACTTGAACCCAGGAGGCGAAGGTTTCAGTGAGCTGAGATTGTGCCACTGCACTCTAGCCTGGGCGACAGAGCAACACTCCATCTCAAAAAGAAGGAAAGAGGCCGGGCGCGGTGGCTCACGCCTGTAATCCCAGCACTTTGGGAGGCCGAGGCGGGTGGATCACGAGGTCAAGAGATCGAGACCATCCTGGTCAACATGGTGAAACCCCGTCTCTACTAAAAATACAAAAAAAATTAGCTGGGCATGGTGGCGCGTGCCTGTAATCCCAGCTACTCAGGAGGCTGAGGCAGGAGAATTGCTTGAACCCAGGAGACGGAGGTTGCGGTGAGCCGAGATCGCGCCATTGCACTCCAGCCTGGGTAACAAGAGCGAAACTCCGTCTAAAAAAAAAAAAAAAAAGAAAAAAAAGAAAGAAAGAAAGAATGCATTAATCACATGAAACCGTAAAAAATATATATATAATTCAATAGTAAAGGCGCATATACTGTCCCCTTCAGAATCCTCTAATGCTGCACTGGTAGTGTATAAATCATTTTTCACTCTAACATAGAAGTTAAAACATAAAAGTATTGAAAATAACTGTAATATTAAAACTTGAAGCTGGCATGGTGGCTCACACGGTAATCCCAGCACTTTGGGAGGCCAAGGCGAGTGGATCCCTTGAGGTCAGGAGTTCGAGACCAGCGTGACCAACATGGTGAAATCCCATCTCTACTAAGAATACAAAAAAATTAGCTGGGCATGGTGGTGCACGCCTGTAATCTCAGCTACTTGGGAGGCTGAGGCAGGAGAGTCGCTTGAACCCAGGGGGCAGAGGCTGCCGGGTTCCAGAAGGCGGCCTCCTCCTCACCGTGCGCCCTGGACCAGCTTCCAGGACGGCGGCTCCTTCCCGTCCCCCGCCTGCTACGCACGCATCCTCCCCTCCAAGGCTTGAGTGCGAGCATCCCGCCCAGGTGCCCAGCAGCTTCAGGCGGCGCCTGCCCCAGCACCAGCCTCCGGAACCGGGACAGTGGCCCTGCATCCGCCCCCGGAGCGAACTGAGGCTCCGCCCCCCACTGGCACCGCCGCTGCTCCTGCCCCACCCCCAGCCCCGCGGGGGGCCTGACCCCACCTCCCCCGGCTGCAAAGCGGGCGCCACCCAGGCTGCACGCCACTGCCTCCGCCCCAGAGTGGGGGCCTGCACAGTATGACTAGAAAGCAGCTCCCCAGCCCTGCCCCCCACCCCTGGGTCCTTCCACAGCTGCCACAGGCAGGTGAGGGATCCCGGAGAAGATCCGAGGACTGGCAGCACCCCTCCAGAACTCACAGTACCCCCCCAGGGCATGGACAGTATGTGGGGGTAGCAATGGAGGGCAGGAATGGTTATCTCCCCCCGGGTAAAGCCATGTCATCCTTTCCAGTTTTGGGCGGCATGAGGCCTGCTCCTCTTATATATACCCTCTACCCCTGCAGCTCCCTCGGGTGCCAGGGGACAGCTGGGGGGCCGCAGGGGCCGTCTCCCTCCTCTGAGCCCCTATATATAACCTGGAGTGCGTGACCTCCAGAGCTTCTCACTTTTGCAACATAGCTCCTGCCAGGGCTGCAAGCTGCAGGGTGGGGCGGGCCTTGGGCCACAGGGAGGGGCCTGTGAAATAGGGGGAGTTCATGCACCCCTTTTTTCCCCAGAGGGGCTGGACTCCGGTTAGTCAGGGGGTGGGGGCTCCTGCACTTTGCCACAGGCACAGGGAAGGTTTTGTCCCCACCCGCTCGGGCCTCCCATCTTGGGCTGGACTTTCTAAGAAGGTGATTCCAGTGCCCTTGCCCACTTCCCCAGAACAAAACATGTTGATCAGTGCGGTGTTTCTTACTGTGCCGAGAAGCCGAGACAACTGAGATTAAAGCTGTTTAACACAATAAATTAAAATAAAATAACATCTTGACTTCGTGCTGGTTTGGTCTGATCTGGGCCCGATCTGTTGGGGCCTAGTGCAGAAACTCAGTCTAAAACAGTGACCTCCAGCGATTTTTATATAATGGTAACCACAATTCCAAAATTCCATACTTTTGTAATTGATACACAAAAGATATAAAATTAGAGGCCAGGCCTGGTGGCTCATGACTGCAATCCCAGTACTTTGGGAAGCCAAGGTTTGTGGATCACCTAAGGTCAGAAGTTTGAGACCAGCCTGGCCAACATGGTAAAACCCTGTCTCTATTAAAAATACCAAAATTAGCTGGGAGTGGTGGTGAGTGCCGGTAATCCCGGTTACTCAAGAGGCTGAGGCAGGAAAATCACTTGAACCCCAGAGGTGGAGGTTGCAGTGAGCTGAGATTTCACTGCCGCACTCCAGCCCGGGCAACAGAGCAAGACTCTGTCTCAAAAGAATTAAAATTAGCCGGGCATGGTGGTGCCTGCCTGTAATCCCAGCTATTTGGGAGGCAGAGACAGGAGAATTGCTTGAACCAGAGAGATGGAGATTGCAGTGGGCTGATATTTTGCCATTTCACTCCAGCCTGGGCAACAAGAGTAAAACTCCACGTCAAAAAAAAAAAAATTAAAGCATATCACTACAAAAAATACCAGCAAATCACAAAGGAAGACAGAAAGAGAGGAAAAAAGGAACTACAAAACAGTCAAAAAACAATTAATAAAATGATAATAGTGAGTCCTTACCTGTAAAAATGTCTTTAACAGTGAATAGGTTAGACCCACTAGTCAAAAGACACAGCAGCAGAATGAATAAAGGAACAATTCCGATGTGGCTGACAAGAGACCTACTTTTGCTTTAAGGACACACTTAGACTAAAAGTGAAAGAATAGAAAAAGATGGCCAGACGTGGTGGCTCACACCTGTAATCCCAGCACTTTGGGAGGCCAAGGCGGGTGGATTACCTTAGGAGTTCGAGACCAGCCTGACCAATGTGATGAAACCCCGTCTCTACTAAAAATACAAAAATTAGCTGGGTGTGGTGGCATGCGCCTGTAATCCCAGCTACTCAGGAGACTGAGACATATTTCAAGTATTTTGAATATTTCAAATATTCGATTCAGTGAAAAAAAGCAGAATATAAGTGGTTATATTCATTAATTGCAATGACATAGAAATATGCATGTGTAGGATCCGAGATACAAGTGAAAATAGTTGCAGATTGCAGTTGTGATGGGACTGGGAGGTGTTTTTTTCCTCCCTCTCAAAATTAAGAAAATTATGGGCTAAAACAATGGACTGAGGGGGTGGCTCACTACTGTAATCCTAGCACTTTGGGAGGCTGGGTTGGGACGATCATGTGAGGCCAACAGTTTGCGACCAGCGTTGGCAATATAGAGAGATCCCCATCTCTACAGAAAAAAACCATTTTTAAAAATTAGCGGCTGGTACAGTGGTTCATGCTTGTAATCCCAGCACTTTGGGAGGCTGAGGTGGGTGGATCACCTGATATTGGGAGTTCTAAACAAACCTGACCAACATGGAGAAACTCCATCTCTGCTAAAAATACAAAATTAGCTGGATGTGGTGGCACATGCCTGTAATCCCAGATACTCAGGAGGCTAAGGCAGAAGAATCGCTTGAACCTAGGAGGCACAAATTGCAGTGAGCCGAGATCATGCCATTGCTCTCCAGCCTGGGCAACAAGACTGAAACTGCACGTCAAAAGAAAAGAAAAAGTGCGAAGCTCCGTCTTCAAATAAACAAATAGAAATAAAATAAAAATTATCCATGTATGATGGCAAGTGTCTGTTGCCCCAGAAACTTGGTAAGCTAAGAAGAGAAGAGGATTCCTTGAGCCTGGAAGTTCGAGGCTGCTATGAACTATAATCATGCTACTGCACTGCACCTTCGTCCACAGAGTGAGGCCCTGACTAAAAATAAATTGGCCAGGCGGAGTTGCTCACGCCTGTAATCACAGTACTTTGGGAGGCCAAAGCAGGCAGATGACTTGGGTCCAGGAGTTTGAGGCCAGCCTGGGCAACACAGGGAGACCCCGTCTCTACAAGAATAGAAAAATTAGCCCGGCTTGGTGGCACAAGCCTGTAGTCCCAGCTACTCAGGAGGCTGAGGAGGGAGGATCGCTTGAGCCTGGGAGGTCAAGGCTGCAGTGGACTATGATGGTGCCACTGCACTTCAGCCTGGGCAACAGAGACTTTGTCTCAGGAGAGGGGCCACCTTTACAAATTTATGACCTGCTTTTAGACAAACATGGGGAGGGCACAGAGTCTTCTTTGTATTGGCTTCTTCTCAATTGTCTTCAGCCCAAAATAATATGCCAGAATGGCATAGTTTGGTGTGACATATTCTGCTACCCTTCCAGCTGTACATTTTTTTAAAGAATTCATCCTTTTTTCACAAAATAAGGTCTTTTCCTCCTTCTCATTACAATATATCCCTTTGAGCATTATCTATAACTTTTATGAAGCTGTTAAGCACAGTTTCTAACCTCAGCACTATGGACGTTTTGGCTCAGATGTTTTGTCGTTTGTGTCTTAAGCACTGTATGTTTAGAAGCATCTCTGGTCTCTACTTGGCATATGCCAATAACATCGCTTTACAAAAGTCACAGCAACCAAAAGCGTCTCCACGTATTGTCAGATGTTCCCTGGGGATGGTGAGCAACCTTGCCTGATCGAGAACCACTGCACTGAAGGAGGGTTAGCGGCATAAAATGAGCGCGCAGCCGGCTGGTTATGCCCGGACTTCAGCACAAGAGGTCTCCCTAGACCACATTATGGTTCTAATCTGGACAATACAGGGTTACGGCTGCTGCCAAAGAGATTGTTATGACTTGGCAGACGGTGACAGTAAGTTCCCATCCTAACGCAGTGGCAGCTGATCAATCTCCCATGCAGAAGAATTCTGAATAAATGAGGTAACTACTGCACTGCAAAGGAGGGGAGCATAACTCCCCACTCCTTAAGTGTAAGCTGTGCCTGCTGACTTCTGCCCAAAGAATATGACAAGGAGTGGGAGGGTAACCACGATGGGGAACCTGACAATCAGCCAGCAGATCCAGGAGAACATCAACACTGATAACCCGTATTGATAGTATGTGCCCTTGATACGACGCCCTAAACATGGCACTTTACCTCTGTGTCTTCCTCCCGAACAGACAGGACCCCAGTCTAGTCATGAGAAAAGCGTCAGGCAAATCCTAATAGAGGCGTGGCCTACAATATGCCTGATGAAAACTTGTCAACACTGAAGACCATCCAAACTGGCCGGGCACAGTGGCTCATGCCTGTAATCCCAGCACTTTAGGAGGCTGAGGGGGACAGATCACCAGAGGTCAGGTGTTTGAGACCAGCCTGGCCAAAATGGTGAAACCCCACTTCTATAAAAATACAAAAATTAGCAGGGTGTGGTGGTGGGTGCCTGTAGTCCCAGCTACTCAGGAGGCCGAGGCAGGAGAATCACTTAAACCAGGAGGTGAAGGTTGCACTGAGCAAAGATTGTGCCACTGCACTCCAGCCTGGGTGGCAGAGCGAGACTCCGTCTCAAAAAGAAATAATAATAATAACCAAAAACATCAAAACCAAGGAATGTCTGAGAAACTATGAAAACCAAGAGAAGCCCGAAGAGACATGGCAACTAAATGTTATGTCATCTCCTGGCTGGAATACTGGAGCAGAAAAAAAAAGACATTGGGTAAAAACTAAGGAAATCTACATAGCTATAGCAAATGTGCCACACTAATATACAATACTAATAACAAGGAAACTACGTCCAGGGCAGGGTTACATGAGAACTCTGTTTAATTTTTCTGTAAATCTAAAACTGCTCTAAAATTTGCCTATTAATTTTTATTTTATTTTATTTTGAGACAGTCTCACTCTGTCACCCAGGCTGGAGTGCAGTGGCACCATCTTGGCTCACTGCAACCACCACCTCCCGGGTTGAAGTGATTCTCCTGCCTCAGCCTCCTGAGTACCTGGGATTACAGGCACCTGCCACCATGCCTGGCTAATTTTTGTATTTTTAGTTGAGACAGGGTTTCACCATGTTGGTGAGGCTGGTCTCGAACTCCTGACCTTAGGTGATTCATCTGCCTCAACCCCCCAATGTGCTGGGATTACAAGTGTGAGCCACTGTCCCTGGACTAAAATTGTCTATTAATTTTTAACAAGCATCTGATCAAGTACTGCCTTGGTAAAGTAAGCAAAGGAGGCTTTAAAATGATAAATTTCCTAGAAAAAAAATTTTTTTTTTCTTTTTTTGAGTCAGACCTCATTCCGTCACCCAGGCTGGAGTGCAGTGGTGCAATCATAGCTCACTGTAGCCTCACATTGCTGCACTCAATCGATTCTCCCACCTCAGCCTCCCAAATATCTGGCAAACTATAGGTGTTTGCCACCACACTTGACTAATTTTTTTATTTTTATTGTTTGTAGAGATGGGGTCTTGCTATGTTGCCCAGTCTGGCTTCAAGGAATCCTCCCATCTTGGCTGCCCAAAGTGTTAGGATTGCAAGTGTGAACCACCACCACCATGCCCAGGCTTAGAACCTGATTGCTGATCTAAAGAGAATCATTTGGTGACTGTCATGGGAAATGCCACCTCCACAAACCAATCCATCTTCTCATTTTATGGAGCAGTATCAGTTAAACGCAAATATTGACGCCAAAGGAAAAATCTTTGAATAGAATAAAGGAGTCTAGCTACTTTAAATAATTCCTTTGTTTGTTTTGTTTTGTTTTGTGTTTGTTTTTTAGATGGAGTCTTGCTCTGGACTCCCATCTCATGGCACAGTCTCGGCTCACTGCAACCCCTGCTTTCCACATTCAAGTGATTCTCCTGCCTCAGCCTCCTGAGTAGCTGAAATTATGAGTCCACATCATCATGCCCAGCTAATTTTTATATTTTTAGTAGGGACAGGGTTTCACCATGTTGACTAGGCTGCTTTTGAACTCCTGACCTTAAGTGATCCACCTGCCTTGGCCTTCCAAAGTGTTGGAATTACAAGTGTGAGCCATCATGCCTGGCCTGCTTTAGATAATTCTTTCTATTCTAACAGGTGTGTAAATGTGGCATGATCACATGAGGGGAATAACAACAACTATTGTATGTCATTGCTATCCCTTTGAAGTTGTTACTGTATCCCAGTACCATATCCAGAAGAGGAAAATTGAGACCCAAAGAGATTATGTATCTGCCCACAGAACTAGCAAGTGACAAAACTAAAATTCAAACCCAGGTCTTTTTCTTTTTCTTTTTTTTTTTTTTTTGAGACAGAGTCTTGCTCTCTTGCCCAGGTAGGAGCACAGTGGTGTGATCTTGGCTCACTGCAACCTCTGCCTATTGGGTTCAAGCAATTCTGTCTCAGCCTCCCAAGTAGCTGGGATTACAGGTGCTTGCCACCATGCCCAGCTAATTTTTGTAATTTTAGTAGACACAGGATTTCACCATGTTAGCCGGGCTGGTCTTAAACTCCTGGCCTCAGGTGATCCGCTTGCCTTGGCCTCCCAAAGTGCTGGGATTACGAGAGTGAGGCACTGTGCCCGGCAAGAGTGAATATATATATATTTTTTTTTGAGACAGAGTTTCGCGCTTGTTAGCCAGGCTGGAGTGCAATGGCGCGATCTCGGCTCACCGCAACCTCCGCCTCCTGGGTTCAAGCAATTCTCCTGCCTCAGCCTCCTGAGTAGCTGAGATTACAGGCATGCGCCACCATGCCCAGCTGATTTTTTGTATTTTTAGTAGAGACGGGGTTTCACCATGTTGACCAGGATGGTCTCGATCTCTTGACCTCGTGATCCACCCGCCTCGGCCTCCCAAAGTGCTGGGATTACAGGCATGAGCCACCGCGCCCGGCCAATGAAGACAATTTTCTAGTACATTAATAGCATTAGATGGTACGAGACTCTTCTCAGATGTAATAGCTTGGCTTTGTCACAAATTAAACTTTATGCATAAAAATTTATTTTATAAATAAAATAAATACATTTTTATGAAACTAACTTAAGAGTTATTTAAAGGGAAAATTTTCCAACTGCTCTAGAAAAAAAAAAACTGCACACTGTAATTTTGTAAAGGCTATATTCAAATCTACCTGTAAAAAGCTACTTTTTGAAAACTAGCAAGTATCCTCCAAAAACATCAACTAAACTCTTGAGATTAAAACCCCCAAATTAATAGGGCACCTAAAAATTAATACAAATTATGTCAAACTGTCAGTACTGACCTCTTTTTCAGCTTCTTTAAATGTTGCTTCTTTCTCCTTGACTCGCTGCATAAATTTCTGTTTCAACTCTTCTTCTTCCCTCTGACATTGATCATAGAACTCTTGTCTTTTGGCTTCAAAGATTTCTTGAAAACTAAAGAGAAACGTTTTCTTAGTCTTATATTAAAATGAAGTAGGAGAATCGCTTGAACCCGGGAGATGGAGGTTTCAGTGAGCCAAAATTGTGCCACTGCACTCCACCCTGGGAGACAGAGCAAGACACCATCTCAAAAAATAAAAATAAAATAAAATAAATGCTAGTATAAACATGTAAAAATATAATAAATAATTATTGTATGTTACATCTTATATAAGGAAATTTGCCAGCGGGATCTCATGTTTAGCAACACAAAATGGAAATTTCCATATCATAAGACGTAAAAACTGGCACGGTATTTAAGATCAGGGTATACAGAGAGTATATGTAAAGAATTTTCCAACACTTATGTAAGTGAATTCTTATCCCCACATTTTCCAGCATGTCATATATTTCTTCACCTCTTTTGACAATAAAATTCAGGGAAACATTGTCAAAATTCAGATGAGAGACGATTTTCAAAATCATCTAAAATAAAGCAAAGAGTCTTTCAAAATATCATTATCATTTATGACAGTTAAATTTTGGGTCTGCAAAGAACAATTAATGATATAACTGGATTATAAACACTGTAGTGACATAATGTATATAATAGTGACACAAGTCCTTTTTCTTTCTTTCTTTCTTTTTGTTTTGTTCTTTTGAGACGGGGTCTAGCTCTGTTGCCAGGCTGGAGTGGAGGGGCACAACCTCAGCTCATTGCTACCTCCACCTCCCAGGTTCAAGTGATTCTCCTGCCTCAGCTTTCTGAGTAGCTGGGATTACAGGTCCCCACCACCAGGCCTGGCTGGTGGGACGGGGTTTCACCATGTTGGCCAGGCTGGTCTTAAACTCTTGACCTCAGGTGATCTGCCTACCTCCCAAAAGTAGTGCTGGGATTACAGGTGGGAGCCACTGTGCCAGGCTCTATTTTTCAAGATAGAGAAATACACATGCTCTCAAACTTTCCTCATTTAACTTCCAGGACACCAGTACTGTTTTTCAGCTGGTTTCCTCATGAAACCCTTCTTAACATCTTTTGTCAAACTTTGCTAACACTTTTTCATCTTTTTCTTTATCCGTTCTTTCATATAAATACAAAAAATAAAACGCAATGATGGTTTCTTCTTGGACGCACATTTCAGCATATACACATACTGAACACACGTATTTCAGGATGAAAATGAGACCCTGCAGTATGTTGTTGCTACTATCTCTGTCTTCATCAAAAGATGATAAAAACACCTAACATTCAAGATGGTTCAGGATGGAAGAAGAATAATTATTCTCTTACTCAAATTTTTGTACCTGTGTTTGTAGGGAACTCCTAAATTATCCATTTGGTTGGGCTGGCAATATATTTTTTTTCTTTTTTAGGGGGGTGAGGGGCTCCAGTACTTGCCAGAGCTAGCAATATGTTTACTCACCTAACTGGCTGGTTGTCTGGGCCCACATCTGTAAAGCCCATTTTCTGCAATTTTTGGTACCTATAGCATTCATAGTGCTGAGTGTGGGTTTTTTCTTTTAGGTTTTCCATATTGGTACAAAGAAGCATATCTCGGAGCTTAATGAAGTCACAGTGATTTTCGTTTTCCACTAGTAATAAAAAAATAATGAATCAACACCACTTATTATCAATCCCTGACAATCAGTAAGTGTTCATGAATGAATACATGAATAAAAAACACATTTAAAATAACACACAATTGATCAATTTGATTAATAGTTATAACTCTTTTAACTATGTAAATATGGTTGTATTATACATACCAATTATAGGCAGAGATTATAGGTTAGCAAATTTGCTTTAAGCTTACTACCTGAAGAATAAGCGGAAAATAGTGAAATAATATGTTACATGCATATATGCCATAGGTTTTTATTAACAATTGTGTTAGTATGTTACAAACTACCCTCTGGGTATTTTGGAGTGCAAAGAGAATATATAACATCACTAGTGTAAATAATTTTATCAAAGTAAATTCTGCTAGCAAAAATGCCTTACAATGGCAAATAGTTTAGTTATGAAATTCCATTTATATATTTAGAGACAGCATTAGTCAATATTCAAAATCAATAAGTTCACATAGCTGTTTTAATGATACACATAGACTGAAAGTGAAGACATGTGGTTTATTGTGATTAATACCTGTGACCAAATTTTATACATCTAGTATAGATATGTATATAACATGTACTAATATGTTACACAACATAATATAATAAATACTAAAACATTAAGTTTTAAGCAGTTTAACAAATTTTAAATTTTCTAATATGTCAATTTTTAAAAACATCATTTGGAGCTGGGGGCAGTGGCTCATGCCTGTAATCCCAGCACTTTGGGAGACTGAGGCAGGTGGATCACCTGAGGTCAGGAGTTTGAGACTAGCCTGACTAATAAGGTGAGACCCAGTCTCTACTAAAAATACAAAAATTAGCTGTGGTGGCAGGCGCATGTTATCCCAGCTACTCAGGAGGCTGAGGCAGGAGAATCACTTGAACCTGGGAGGTGGAGGTTGCAGTGAGCCAAGATCACGCCACTGCCCTCCAGCCTGGGCGACAAGAGCAAAACTCTGTCTCAAAAAACAAACAAACAACATTATTTGGAAAACAGTACAAGTAAATCTTCCATTCCCCAGTAATTAGTACCACAAGTATATGATCAAGATAATAAATTACTGCTTACTACAATATTCTAACTCATTATGATGGTAAATAATAATATAAATGTCAAAGGAATAATCTTTAGCCAAAGGGAAATTGTACTTTCTTGTTTTAGGAAGTTTATCATTCTTTTTTCTAGTGACCAGTTTAAAATGGCTTATATATTAGGTAGTAATGAGTTTGTGTAACATGTCTAAACACTAGTATATTTGCTTCAATTTTGTTTAAAGTGCTTTTCAGCATTCTGAATGTTATGGTTTGTACAGAGACAGAAAATATGCACGTGGTGCACTAGGGTCATCACAGAGGCCCTTCCAGCCTCTGTAGATTTTGGCTTAAAGCAGCATTCGGCAAACTTCTATGACAATGATTCACAGTCATTAGTAAGTGATTAGTTTAAATAAACAGAGTTTTTGTTCCTCATTAGTAACTATTAATTTACAGATTAGCAAGAGTTACCAATATTAGCTCATGAAAATATTATTTTGAGACTATGTATGATACACATATATTTAACCTAATCATTGCAAACCCTGCCCTCTTTCATATTTACCTTGCAAAACTCCCCAAGGATAGTGACGGCCTCTGACCATCCTTTTTCCAACTTTCACTTCATCCGTACTGCCAACCACAGCAAAGGGTAATAGCCCCTAGAATACAAGAATGATATAAATTAATAACAGAAGTGAGAGTGATAGAGCATAGCTTACTCCATTACTCTCACTCCTGTTATAAAAATGACAGAGAGGGCCAGGCATGGTGGTTCATGCCTATAATTCCAGCACTTTGGAGGCCAAGGTAGGCAGATCATGAGGTCAGGGGTTTGAGACCAGCCTGACCAACATGGTAGAACCCCATCTCTACTAAAAATACAAAATTAGCCAGGTATGGTGACAGGCACCTGTAATCCCAGCAACTCAGGAGACTGAGGCAGGAGAATCGCTGGAACCCAAAAGGCGGAGGTTGCAGTAAGCCGAGATGGTGCCATTGCACTCCAGCCTGGGTGTCAGAGTAAGAATCCATCTCAGAAAAAAAGACAGAGATGATGATATTGTAATAAATTTAATTAGACAGGGATCCACCCTGTGTCTCATTTTAAGGCTTGATAGTAAACATGCGCTAATTGGTTTCTGTAAGCATTAATCTCAGGCTGTGCACACAATTGGAAAGTGTCTACTGAGCAGAGCCTAAACCAAGGTATCCTGCTGCAGGAAACAAACACACAAAAAGATTTTTTATTTTTTTGAGACGAAGTTTCCACTCTTGTCGTCCAGGCTGGAGTGCAATGGTGCGTTTTCTGCTCACTGCAAACTACTCTTCCAGGGTTCAAGTGATTCTTCTGCCTCAGCCTCCCAAGTAGCTGGGATTGCAGGTGTGTACCACCACATCTGGATAATTTTCATATTTTTAGTACATATGGGTTTTCACCATGTTGGCCAGGGTGGTCTCGATCTCTTGACTTCGTGATTCGCCTGCCTCAGCCTCCCAAAGTGCTGGAATTACAGGTATGAGCCACTGCGCCCGGCCAAGAAAAAAGATTTTTAATAGACATCATTTTTCTCACACTATCTGTACCCTGAAACATCTTTACCCTGAATGTTGAAGAAATAACATGCAAATAACTTTTAACTCTGGTATAAAAGTTAAAAGACAAAAATATTGAAAATGACTGCAACTATTAAAATAATTAATGGATACACAATATTAAATATATTAATAAACATACTGTACACTAGAAGCTAAATCTCACCATTATGCAATATATATATTTGACAAATATGCACATATACCCTCTGAATATAAAATAAAAAACTAAGGAAGTTTATACTAGTAAACACCTACATCTTTTTGAAAAAAGATCTCTGCCAGGCATAATGGCTCATGCCTGTAATCCCAGCACTTTGGGAGGCCGAGGCGGGCAGATTGTCTGAAGTCAGGAGTTCAAGACCAGCCTGGCTAAAATTGAGAAACCCCATCTCTACTAAAAATATTTTTTAAATTAGCTGGGTGTGGTGGTGCATGCCTGTAGTCCCAGCTACTCGGGAGGCTGAGGCAGGAGGATTGCTAGAACTTGGGAGGTGGAGGTTGCAGTGAGCAGAGATCACACCACTGCACTCCAGCCTGGGCAGCAGAGGGAGACTCCATTACAAAAAAAAAAAAAAAAAAAAAAAATCTCAAAACAAAAACCTAACTTTAAACCAAAAAAAAAAAAAAAGAAAAAAAAGAGAAAAAAAAACCCTAAACCAATAATTACCAGGAGGAAAAAATAACAAAGATTAGAGCATAAATAAATAAAATAGAGAATAAAAAACATTTTAATCAGCCAGGCCCTGTGGCTCACACCTGTAATCCCAGCACTTTTGGAGGCTGAGGCAGGTGGCTCTCTTGAGGTCAGGAGTTCCAGACCAGCCTGGCCAACATGATGAAACCCCGTCTCTACTAAAAATACAAAAATTAGCCTGGTGTGGTGGCACGCTCCTATAATCCCAGCTACTTCAGAGAGTGAGGCAGGAGAATCTCTTGAACCCAGGAGATGGAGGTTGCAGTGAGCAGAAATTTTCCCTCTGCACTCCAGCCTGGGCAACAGAGTAAGACTATGTCTCAAAAATAAAAATTAATAAATGAAGCTAAGAGTTGATTTGGAAAAAAAAAAAATCAAAATCAAAGCCCTTACCTAGACTAACAATGAAAAGAGCGAATATGTTAATAATATAAGAAATGAAAGAGATGACATTACAACTGGTCTTACAGAAATAAACAGAATTATAAGGGACTATTATGAGCATTCTTGCAGCAACTAATTTGACAACTTAGAAGAAATGGGGAAATTATTAGAAACATATAACCTACCAATACTGAATGAAGAATAGAGACCTTAAAGAGACCAATAAATAAAGAAACTAAGTAATTTTTTAAAACTGCAAAATATAGCCTAGACCAGATTACTTCATGGGTAAATTATATCAAACTTTCAAATAAAATTTAATATAAAATATCCTCAAATTCTTTGAAAAAATACAAAAAAGAAGTAACACCTTCAGAGTCATTTTATGAGACCCACACATAAAATACACTTCTTTTTTTTTTTTTTTTTTTTTGAGATGGAGTTTCGCTCTTGTTGCCCAGGCTGGAGTGCAATGGCGCGATCTCGGCTCACTGCAACCTCCGCCTCCTGGGTTCAGGCAATTCTCCTGCCTCAGCCTCCTGAGTAGCTGGGATTACAGGCACGCGCCACCATGCCCAGCTAATTTTTTGTATTTTTAGTAGAGACGGGGTTTCACCATGTTGACCAGGATGGTCTCGATCTCTTGACCTTGTGATCCACCCGCCTCGGCCTCCCAAAGTGCTGGGATTACAGGCGTGAGCCACCGCGCCCGGCCAAAATACACTTCTAAGAAGAAAATTGTAGGCCAAAATCCTTGAGGAACGTGGTGAATGAATTAAATCTAAATAAATCTGTTTGCAAAGAATCAATATTCAACAAAAGTTTTTCAAAATCAAAAAAAATAAAAATTTTCTCACACTAGATTCTGGATAAAAACTCATTTCTAGCCTCTTTGTCCGATATCATTACTGAAGCTTACGTTAATTGAGGAGTTCGCTTGAGCAGTAGTTTCATCGTCTGTTGGGAACTGATATATGTGGATCCCATTGCTAATCAGTTCATTCATTATCTTCCTCTTAAACATCTGTAAATCATTTTTAGAAACTGTGTCTGCTTTGGCAATCAGTGGTATAATGTTCACCTATTAAGAAAGAAGACAAACAAAACCTCAGCATCGAGGACTCATGGTTCATCCTGTAGTTTTTCTAGTAAAGCCTTCACAATCTCTGACAACAAATTGTGTAACATCCTGTAGTTTTTCTAGTAAAGCCCTCACAATCTCTGACAACAAATTGTGTAACTAGATAATCACTGGCTGTCATGATTTCATTAAAAATTATTTTCCAGCCAGGCGCAGTGGCTCAAGCCTGTAATCCCAGCACTTTGGGAGGCCAAGGCGGGTGGATCACGAGGTCAAGAGATCGAGACCATCCTGGTCAACATGGTGAAACCCCGTCTCTACTAAAAATGCAAAAAATTAGCTGGGCATGGTGGTGCGTGCCTGTAATCCCAGCTACTCAGGAGGCTGAGGCAGGAGAATTGCCTGAACCCAGGAGGCGGAGGTTGCGGTGAGCCAAGATCGCGCCATTGCACTCCAGCCTGGGTAACATGAGTGAAACTCCGCCTCAAAAAAAAAAAAAAATTATTTTCCAAAATTATCAATACTTTTGAAGATTCACCTTTTATCCAAATTCAGGCTTAGAAGTCTCAACCTTGTTTCTCTTTAAAAATCTCTTACAACTCTACACATATGGAGGTAGTAAAAAGTAAATAGTAGGACAATGTAAGTTATTTAATTTATTTTCAATTTTATTTCTTATTAAGCTGAGTAATAAAAGACAAAATGAAAGACCTTTCATCAACATTGTGGAAGGGATTTTGTCTTGCTACTTTTTACATCACTTTTTTCATCAATCGATCTTGATTAATGTCTCATTTTTACACACTCTTGCCCCACCTAGATGTGTTTGCAGATAGATTTACTTTTGTTTTCCAAGACCAACTAAAAAGAATAGTGATATTTTTGGTTACCATATTCTTTTTTTTTTTTTTTTTTTTTTCGAGATAGAGTCTGGTTCTGTCACCCAGGCTGGACTGCAATGGCACAATCTAGGCTCAGGCTCACTGCAACCTCCACCTCCTGGGTTCAAGCAAGTCTCCTGCCTCAGCCTTTTGAGTAACTGGGATTACAGGCACCTGCCACCACGCCAGGCTAATTTTTGTGATTTTAGTAGAGACAGGGTTTCACCATGTTGGCCAGGCTGCTCTCAAACTCCTGGCCTCAGGTAATCAGCCCACTTCAGCCTCCCAAAGTGATTGGATTACATGTGTGAGCCACTGCACCTGGCCTGGTTGTCTTATTCTAAAGGCTGTGTGTGTGTGTGTGTGTGTGTGCGTGTGTGTGTGTGCGCGCGCGCACGTGTAAGAGCAACTCACAAACAAATATGTTTATTTTTCTTTTGTAAAAAGACATTATTTCCACATTGGAAGTTGAGTTTTTGCGTATTTGAGGTTGAATTTTTACTCACAAAGATTTTTCCTAGTGCTTCAATATGATCCCTCCTGTCTTTTGCATTTGCACTTAAATAACAAAACTTTTTAGAAAATGACAATATACAAGATTATAAAATGTTTTATTACTGTTAAATATCTTATTAAATTACAGCTCCACAAAATCAATATCTGTAACATAGTAGAAATACATAAATATAAATTTTAGGCAGACTGCTTTTGTTTTAGATTGCTCAAAGCACGTCTTTTAAAAAATCCATGGATTGGCTGGGCGCGGTGGCTCAAGCCTGTAATCCCAGCACTTTGGGAGGCCGAGGCGGGTGGATCACGAGGTCAAGAGATCGAGACCATCCTGGTCAACATGGTGAAACCCCGTCTCTACTAAAAATACAAAAAATTAGCTGGGCATGGTGGTGCGTGCCTGTAATCCCAGCGACTCAGGAGGCTGAGGCAGGAGAATTGCCTGAACCCAGGAGGCGGAGGTTGCAGTGAGCCGAGATCGCGCCATTGCACTCCAGCCTGGGTAACATGAGTGAAACCCCGTCTCAAAAAAAAAAAAAAAAATCCATGGACAGGCCAGGCACAGTGTCTCATGCCTGTAATCCCAACACTTTGGGAGGCCAAGGTGGGTGGATCACCTGAGGTCAGGAGTTCAAAACCAGCCTGGCCAACATGATGAAACCCTGTCTCTACTAATAATACAAAAAATTAGCCAGGTGTAGTGGCACACGCCTGCAGTCCTAGCTACTCGGGAGGCTGAGGCAGGAGAATTGCTT